CCGGTCACTGACTGATCATACCACAGCCACTGACTGATCACACCACATGGGTACTGACTGATTACTCCACAGGGCCACTGATTGATCACACCACACGGCCACTGACTGATCACCCCACAGTCACTGACTGATCACACCACATGGTCACTGACTGATCACGACACACGGCCAATGACTGATCACACCACACGGTCACTGACGAATCTTTTTTTTTAATCTTTTCACGTCCGTTTAAAATAATAAAATAAAAACAACAGGGAGGAAGCTACAGATTAAATGTGATCGGTAGGTGTTATGTTTATATTTACACAGAAATGTACCTTGCACATGCTTTGCGTTACTTTACCAAATATGGTACAGCATGCGTAAATAAGTTTTTAGGCATACTAGGCAATACTGATAAAATACTGATATACAGCAGCGAAGGTGGAAACGAAAAGCATTCGGATCACAATGATATTGCATCAATAAAGGTAGAGAACGCGGACTGTAGTGTAAACCTATCAATAAAGGCAGGGAATGCAGTCATGTAGAGTTAATTAAGGAATTAAAATATAGAATCTAACATAAACATTTTTCTCAATATATGAGAATTAAATATAAAATACAATTCTTTATTCAAGATTATAAAATGACATGTTTCAAATAATTACCCTTATATTTCAAATCATTCTGATTTGTCTAGTAATGAATCAATGTAATACTATTGTGTTCAGTTATAAATCAACGCTTTTACGATTGTTTTGTAAAGTTATTAATCAATGCTATATACTTTTTGTTTTAAAGTTATGATTCATCACTTTGCTTTTTGTGCAACGTGTTGAATCAACTCTATTCTATAGTGTAAATTTATGTAAAACCCCTATTTTTGTGTAAAGTTATGAACACTGTATAATCCTAAACAGTTATGAATCATCGCTTCACTAACCTAACGTATTATAATGTATAATCTGATCCTGTTCCATTGACTACCACGGTCGACTGTGTCCCACTGTTCGATCCGTAGGCGGGGGATGATGTTCACCACCAACAATTTAATCGTCGAGGCCTGAACAAACACGTTGATATAAGTGAGCAAAAATGTAATCTCTTACACCGCGTGACCACCTTCGGTGATTGTGGAGATCTACGACCTTTGACCTGTATACATATACATGTATCATCAATGATGGAGACTATGGACGTAGTGTAACCTCGAGTCATAACGCTGACAACTTTAAAACGTCTCAAAGTAATCCAGTTTTGTAATCAGCACGGTATCGTTTGTTAAAACATCATTCGGTAAAATTATGGATTTTTAAACGCAGCTGTAACACAAGTGTAGCGTGTGCAAACTATTGAGATTGAATATGTATAGATTAAGACAACAACAACAACTTATATAAATATCAATATAAAACAAACATCCACTTCCTGTGTGACAATAGGAACGTTTATCGATGAACAACAGGGGAAAACACACAAGGTGGATAGGTCCACTACGTGTTCCAGGAGAAATTCTCATTATTATTAAAAACGTTTAAGATAACTTAAAAGTAAAATAGGAAAAAGCAGTGCAAAGTTTACTAAAAACCATATGTAACATTACTTAAAACAACCTTGATTGTGGGGAGTTCAAAACAAAAATATTGTATTGTTGGGTGCGTGAGACCAAATTATTGTATTGATTATGGGGAGCGCAGGACCAAAATATTGTATTTATTGCGGGTGCGCAGGACCAAAATATTGTATTTATTGTGGGTGCGCAGGACCAAAATATTGTATTTATTGTGGGTGCACAGGACCAAAATATTGTATTTATTGTGGGTGCACAGGACCAAAGTATTGTATTTATTGTGGGAGCGCGAGAACAAGAAGATTGCATTGTTAACTACTCAACAAAGAAAACAAGCTAAAGACGTTCCGAGATCAAGTCTAACTTACACATAAAGCCAGGCACCACAGCCAAGTCTATCACAGTCAAGTCTATCACAGTCAAGTCTGTCACAGTCAAGTTTATCACAGCAAAGTCTATCACAGCCAAGTTTATCACAGCAAAGTCTATCACAGCCAAGTCTATCACAGTCAAGTCTGTCATAGTCAAGTCTGTCATAGTCAAGTCTGTCACAGTCACGTCTATCACAGCCAAGTCTGTCACAGCAAAGTCTATCACAGCAAAGTCTATCACAGCCAAGTCTATCACAGTCAAGTCTGTCATAGTCAAGTCTGTCACAGTCAAGTTTATCACAGCAAAGTCTATCACAGCCAAGTCTATCACAGTCAAGTCTGTCACAGTCAAGTCTATCACAGTCAAGGTCATAGTCAAGTCTGTCACAGTCACGTCTATCACAGTCACGTCTATCACAGCAAAGTCTATCACAGCCAAGTCTATCACAGTCACGTCTATCACAGCCAAGTCTGTCACAGTCACGTCTATCACAGCCAAGTCTGTCACAGCAAAGTCTATCACAGCCAAGTCTGTCACAGTCAAGTCTTTAACTAGACCAGCCACGGGGAAGGCGATAAAACATGTACAAATGTGCATGAAGCTTAAAGCAAAATATTGTTTGGATAAAAACGACATGATGATGGAATACCTGGATAGAACCTGTGCCTTTTCAATTCTCATGATATCTTTGACACTATGCCCACCGTAGCTTTTTTTCATTGACATTTCAGAAAAACAATGAGTAATGTTAAGTAATTCTAATGGGATGTGCGAGTCCTTTGATATTGCAACTGCTGATGTAATCATAAATTTAAAAAAAATGGTCGTTGAAAGTTTATGTGTGCAACGGCAGCGGAACTACATCAACAACAAACAGTTCCGAAAGTGTTTAAAACAGGCTAAAATGTAATGCACTTTAACAGTACCCAATCTCAAAGACAAGTGTCCGAGACGAAATGGGAGAAAGAAAACAGGGAGCAATGTTTAGTATTAGGGAGAAAGACCAACAAAACGAAAAGGAAAGGAAACACATGACAATCAGTCAAGAAAGTTACAGTGGTACAATGTAGCAGTGTTGAGGGGTCATACAAAATGTCCTGAGCAGTAAAAATGAAAACGTTAACCTAAAACAACCAAGAACGTGTCCTATGCTCGTCATTATTGCAAACAAAAGTTTGAGAGAGAGTGTTCTTTAACTTTAACATCTGCATGACACGCGTCATTAAAGGTTAGAATATAGGGAAATGTTATCAATACGTTAACGAAAAAGAAACAATACAGGATGTCCAACACGAACTAAAAGTAAACACAGAAAAAAAAGAAAAAAACCCAACCCAAATGTAGGAATGCTGCACGACACAGAGAACTCAAACCAGCTGGAATCAGCATTAATGTGGTTAAAGGATTAGGGATGGGATAGAAAGTAAGGAAAAACAGAAGAAAACGTGTATTCGGGAAATTCGAATTGAAGTCAAGGCTCCTCATGGTCTACACAAAACGAAAAAAAAGTGGAAACCAAGGAATAAGTGATTGGAGGTATATCCAATACACGTTCACACTAACATATTCACAGCATTTACCCTTTCAAAATAAAACACTAATAATAGGAAAAAAACTATATAATTCAAACTATCATCATTTTCAAAGCCCTGCGTATAGAAAATGAACCGTCCCTTCAATTATAATATTAAAATGCTGGTGTCACACTCACACTGATATCATTCATAAGTGTTTGATTGCCTTTATAATGGAGATACAGACAAAGGCGGCAGACATCGCAGCAGTCATTCCTTACTTATCATCTTAACTAACTCAACATTAAATTACCCTCGTAGTCCAAAACAACGTATACCGCAGTAATTCAAGATATCATAAATAAAACATTAGCTCCATACAACAATGTCACCACCGTGGCTATCTCTTTACGGACGTGATACTACTACGATCTTACCTTGATTTACAATAACATGGGGAATGCCGTCAATGACGCAGACAAGGCCTTGATTTCTGGAACATCTTGTCCGTGTCTCTTCTTCTTTGTTCAATGTTCTCTGTGTAAATCTTTCCTTTGTTCAAAGTTTCATCGATTTAAGAATTTCATTTCCATTGCGGAATGTGGTTTTACAATGTATATATATATAAGCAGCTTAGTATCTAAAACCTACATATATATCACTAACTCAGGATAGCAAACACCTTAGTAACTCAAAATGATTAATACCATAGTAACTACAAAAAATCATGATAACTTTAAAGGCAAACCAACGGTAACTCAAAATAACATTAGAATATACCATAGTAAATATACAGTCGCTTAATGCTTTCCCATGGTAAAGTCAATGGCATAAGTGTTACTCGGGGTGTTGGTAGTTAACTGTTTGCAGTAGTATAGAACGAGAACGAAGGACTAGTGCAACATTACATAATATGGTCGACAATAAGCACCAACGAGTGCCAACTATTTTTACTTAATCATGTGAGGGCACCATATACCTGTTTTATTACATAACTAGGAACGATACAAAACGCACTTTTTAGCAGTAGGACTTTGTAGACTAGCTTGCAATTTACTGGGCCAGATGGTAGTGCTTCAAGTTCAGAATTAGCTCTGTTGATAGATGTTAAATACGTGTGCGATTCAAAACTCATTAACGAATATTTGATTTTGTCAGCAATATATCGCTAGCGTGAATTCAGAATCATCCGCAGTAGCGAGGGAAATCACTCTGTCATTTCAACAGGCAGACGGCAGGTAAACAAAAATGTAATCATTTGAAAGCTTGAAAACGTCCCATGGAACCTTGTAACGTGACACTCTCATTGGTCATGTGACCTTGCCGTAAAGTCCGATTTAGTGCAAGTATCAGTGTCGAGATCACCGCAGTGTTGGAGTCTAATTTATTAAATATCAGAGTTGACATTGAGGTTTTACTGGGACAAGATTAAACGAGTTTTATGTAATTTTGTCTCAAGGGAAAACCCCATAGCTGATGAATAGGACGACAATGTTATCACGCAATCCTCTAACACACGTGTATCCCATGGTGTGGTCTATCCGAGGATGGTATGGAGATAACGACGGAGGATATTGTAGTGTGGGTGTTATGATGTTTATCGTTACACACAGAGGGAGGATACCGATAACAATGACAACAATCAGTATTGTCACCGCCAACTAAATATAAACATATTAATTTATAAACACTTCTATGTTACATTAGGTTGGATTGTGCTTCTGAACGGATCTAGCAGATTTATGGTATGTACTATCTAAAGGACCATCACTGATGTGTAAGTGTTGGACGATACACATATATTTAATACGTATACCACTAGGTGTGATAACGATTCAGTCATGATTTGTGTATTAAGACATCATTGATTAGATGGAGAGAAAAGAGGTTGTGCAGGTTTTAGCATGTTAATCAAATTATTTCTATATGATTGTCTTTATTTTATTTCTGTTTATCCGTGACAGACATTTAATGATTGCATTTCAAAACCCGAAAATTCAAGCAATAAAGAGGAGTGAAATGTTTCCTCTGTTAATCGTATACTGTTTGTCACAAGTCACGTCCGTCCAGGTAAATGTTAGCGTAAATATTCCTGTGTGGATGTTTAGTGTACGGTTTCCTGTCTGTAATTGTCGGTACAGAAGACATGCCTCGGGGGTAGGAGGGGAGGATGCAGAGGATATATGGGGTCGAGAGGTTGACACTTAAAGTTTTGCTCCATACATTTGTTTCTCTCCGTCACTTTTGCCCCTTAATGTGTGGGTTATGCCATTGTGTTTGTCAATATAGCACAATTGTATTACAAAGCAAAAAAATAGTGTATTAGAAATAATGTAAACATTGCGTAATCCAACGAAATAATGTTAGGAGATAATCGAGTTTTCTAATCTTTGAGATATGTTCATGAGAAATAATGTATAAAAAGTTGATTTTAAGGCATAGCGTAAGAAAACAATCCAGCAACACAATAATGTATGGCGGTTATTTACATTCAATTAATCTCTTTAATAAGGTATGATGTTTCATAAACAATTCGTTTGCTATTGATATATTTTGACATCTTTTACAAATGTTAACCTTTTGTTTCTGGTTTTCATGTATTCATTTTTTATAAAGGTCTATGTTTTTAAAATTGTTGTTTGGCCCTAAATGACTCAAATTGTCGATGGGCCAATCTTATTGTTTTTATTGCCAGAAGTAACTCCACCGAGTGGAATAACGACATGATAAACGCTGTTAATTAATAGAAATAATGTCAATAGATAATCTTTGTATCTATTGACAGGAGTTAATCCGACGATATGATGACAACATAATTTACAGAGCTAGGTAAATGATGTCATGTCAATATAAACATTGATCCGTGCTTTTAGTGTCAGAAGTTAATCAAGACAATATAATGACGACATAATACAGTTAAGTTAAAGATAAATATCAGTTCTTAATCTTAGTTTATTTTTAAAGTCAGCAGTTAATCAATCGACATAATGACATATATTGCCAATAGATAATATTTGTATTTGATGTCAGGATTTTATCAAGTTAAATTAATTTAAGAAGATAAGCCATATTTTATGTTTTGAATAAATGTATTCATATAATACCAAGATTTTATCAAACGTTAAAATACGGTCAGGAAACACAAGGACATTAAGCCACCAACCAACCACTGGACTGTGCTCCTACATCACAAGAGACTTGCTATAATTATACTGTTAAGACAGCATGCACTCTGTACTCGGTTATGATTAATATGCACGCTGTAGTTGTTACGCATGAGTTAACTGTATTTATTCATACTGAATCCACCACTTTAAATTGTATTCGCCGATGATGTACATATTTATAACGTTTTCCCTAAACTTTCAATTTCCCCAGTACTTCCCCATTTGTGTTTGTGAGGACTATAAGGTAATTATAGACGATCGACTTAAGCGGCATTTCCTTTCATCATCCAGTCATCATCACCTTAGGTCAAAGTCATTACTTAAATATACGGAACACCTCTGTGTTTACCGCATAGTTTAATGGATGTTAACACACGACACACATAGTTATGAAGTGAGTATTTTGTTTCTTGTCCAAATCGCGACACAGATATACATTAACGTTGCGTACACTCGCCTTGTTTAGTTCGTGGATTTACCGGAAGAAATGTCTCTTTCGACATTATTTAACGTGTCCTTGGGGTTCTATTAAATTACGGTAAGAAACAAATTTAGTCAAAACTTTATACACCTAGTGGACATACATGCACTGTTTTAAAACGAAATATGTTCATGCATGTATATATATATATTTATATAATCTACACTGTTTAGATATACTTATGTAACACAAGTAAAAGGTGCTTTATAAAGGCATACGTAAAACATTAGAAGGGGAATATCGAGAAGGCATACCCACACCTAGACTGGCCACCGTCTCCAGTATATTGAATAATTAAGAAAATAACTTTAACTCTAAAAAGTTTGATCACTTGGATGTCTGATTCTTCTAAACTAGGGGGAGATAAGCCAGTAGTAAAATGCAGCCGATAAATTCTTTATATAAACTTAGGGGCTGGTAACCAGTCTAACCCCCTCCCACACTCAAGGTAGACTTACCACACAGTCTTATACTGTGAAGATTGTTCCCCCTATATCGTACCAGGGTTTACTGTAAAACTTGATGTTCTGTAGACTTATCGTACCAGGGTTTACTGTAAAACTTGATGTTCTTTAGACTTATCACACCAGGGTAAACTGTAAAGTTTGATGCTCTTAAGGACTCACACAACTAAATAATTTACTATATGTTATTACCAAACATTTTAGCTAATAAATTTAATATCTGAAGTTCAAAACTAGTGACAACTGTCTAGATTCATAAATACATAACTTACAAAGGCTACAAAATGACTTTTTTGGTAGGTTTAGTGGCATATTGGAGTGTTACAGCGGCAAGAAGTTGACAACCGGAAGTTTACAAGCAAAACCGGTGACCCAAATTAGAAACGCGCCCAGACATTTTGCCCCTGTGCAAATCCGCACACAGACATGGAAATATATCAAAAGTATATATTTTTCAAAAGTTAAATAGCTGAACATTTCATTTATCTAAAAATCTGTCATCAGTTCCTTATTCAACTCCTTCAGTGGCCCAGTACTTAGCCGGAACTTATTTCAGATAGGAGCTACAAACGCTGATTGGCTGATTAAGTTGTGGGAGTCCTTAAGACTTACTGCGTCAGGACTTACTGTAAAGTTTGATGTCCGCTCTATTTAACGCACGAAGGTTATTTGTAAAATTTGATGTCCTCTAGACTTATCGCACCAGGGTTTATTGTAAATTGTGATGTTCTCTAGACTTATCAGACCAGGGTTTACTGTTTAGTTTGATGTCCTCTAGACTTATCAGACAAGGGTTTACTGTTTAGTTGTATGTCCTCTAGACTTATCAGACCAGGGTTTACTGTTTAGTGTGATGTCCTCTAAACTTATCAGACCAGGGCTTACTGTTTAGTGTGATGTCCTCTACACTTATCAGACCAGGGTTTACTGTTTAGTGTGATGTCCCCTAGACTTATCAGACCAGGGCTTACTGTTTAGTTTTATGTTCTCTAGACTTATCAGACCAGGGTTTACTGTTTAGTTTGATGTCCTCTAGACTTATCAGACCAGGGTGTACTGTTTAGTTTGATGTCCTCTAGACTTATCAGACCAGGGTTTACTGTTTAGTTTGATGTCCCCTAGACTTATCAGACCAGGGTTACTGTTTAGTGTGATGTCCTCTAGACTTATCAGACCAGGGTTTACTGTTTAGTGTGATGTCCCCTACACTTATCAGACCAGGGTTTACTGTTTAGTTGTATGTCCTCTACACTTATCAGACCAGGGTTTACTGTTTAGTTGTATGTTCTCTGGACTTATCCGACCAGGGTTTACTGTTTAGTTTTATGTCCTATAGACTTATCAGACCAGGGTTTACTGTTTAGTTGTACGTCCTCTACACTTATCAGACCAGGGTTTACTGTTTAGTGTGATTTCCCCTACACTTATCAGACCAGGGTTTACTGTTTAGTGTGATGTCCCCTACACTTATCAGACCAGGGCTTACTGTTTAGTTGTATGTCCTCTAGACTTATCAGACCAGGGTTTACTGTTCAGTGTGATGTCCCCTAGACTTATCAGACCAGGGCTTACTGTTTAGTTTTATGTTCTCTAGACTTATCAGACCAGGGTTTACTGTTTAGTTTTATGTCCCATAGACTTATCAGACAAGGGTTTACTGTTTAGTTTTATGTCCTATAGACTTATCAGACCAGCGTTTACTGTTTAGTTTGATGTCCTCTAGACTTATCAGACCAGGGTTTACTGTTCAGTGTGATGTCCCCTAGACTTATCAGACCAGGGTTACTGTTTAGTGTGATGTCCTCTAGACTTATCAGACCAGAGTTTACTGTTCAGTGTGATGTCCTCTAGACTTATCAGACCAGGGTTTAATGTTTAGTTTGATGTTCGCTAGACTTATCAGACCAGGGTTTACTGTTTAGTTTTATGTTCCCTAGATTTATCAGACCAGGGTTACTGTTTAGTGTGATGTCCTCTACACTTATCAGACCAGGGTTTACTGTTTAGTTGTATGTCCTCTAGACTTATCAGACCAGGGTTTACTGTAAAGTTTGATGTCCTCTAAAATGTATCGCACCAGGGTTTACTGTTAAGTTTAAGTTTTATGTCCTCTAAACCGAGGATTTTATGGTAATTATTCGACCACCTCCAGACTTATCAAATCAGGTTTAACTGTGTGTATCGATCAGTTTAAAATGTTGACGATACGAAACTGTTGTTTTTGCTATATTTGCGACATAAAATTTGTTCGATATTATTCCCGGGAACTCGTTACCATTCTAACAAAGAGTAAGATAGGACTTTTGGCTATACCTAGATTTGAAACTCGAAGATTTTTCAAGAAACAATTCAACGAAAATATGTCGCTCCGACATTATAGCAATATGTTTCATCCTCTGCATATGAGTCTTTCCTTTTCTGAATTACAATTCTTCGTAATCAAGGACTCTTTTTTTCACTTTTTTTTTATTGCGTTGTTTATTTTCCACGATCACCATATAGGATGATATTAAGTTTTCCCATTTTGTAGATTCGTTTGAGGTTGCGGAGAGCGTGTTTGCGTTGTTTGAGTGGTTGTATGATGACTCGCCAAGGCTAAAGAGAACTCCGTGACTCCCAACAGACTAATTGATCTGACGGTAATCAGTCAGGTTTCATACTCAGGTAAGTCATCAGCTAGGTATTACGTACAGGTTAGGCGTAATTAACACCCAAATCAATGACACTGTTATACATGTATGTTAGATCCACTAGAGGCGTTAGGTCGTATAATCGATCGGTATTGCTAAATATGTTACAACTAATCACATGTATTCCACTTATTTAAATGATTGCCAGTATCAACAGACACTTTAACATCGATATAATAACGAAACTGTAATAATGTATGTAGTACAGATATTTCAGTGAAAAATAAAAAAATAGCGCCAACGTTTCATGAAGCGCCGATGCTTCGGTAAAGATGTAGCGCCGACGTTTCAGTAAAGATGAAGCGCCGACGATTCAGTAAAGATGTAGCGCTGAAATTTCAGTAAAGATTAGCGCCGACGTTTCAATAAAGATTAGCGCCGACATTTCAATAAAGATAAGTGCCGACGTTTCAGTAAAGATGTAGCGCCGACGTTTCAGTAAAGATGTAGTGCCGACGTTTCAATAAAGATAAGTGCCGACGTTTCAGTAAAGATTAGCGCCGACATTTCAGTAAAGATGTAGCGCCGACATTTCAGTAAAGATTAGCGCCGACATTTCAATAAAGATAAGCGCCGACGTTTCAGTAAAGATGTAGTGCCGACGTTTCAATAAAGATAAGTGCCGACGTTTCAATAAAGATTAGCGCCGACATTTCAGTAAAGATTACCGCCGACGTTTCAATAAAGATTAGCGCCGACATTTCAATAAATATTAGCGCCGACATTTCAGTAAAGATTAGCGCCGACATTTCGACATTTCAGTAAAGATTAGCGCCGACATTTCAGTAAAGATTAGCGCCGACGTTTCAATAAAGATTAGCGCTGACTGGTAACCTTGTCAAGCTATGACTTGTCTCGATGCATACATTGCTTGTGTATATTTTTTTTATATATTATAGCCCACATGATAGGGAAACATGATTATTTGTTTCCTCTATGAAACAAATAGTCATATTTTCCTACAAAAGAAATAAAAGTAAACCGCTAACGGGATAACTTCAATGAATTTGAATGTAAAGCTAGTTTTCAACGATTATGAAACCATTTAGTCCAAGATCCATGAAAACCATAAATTACGCTGAGAAAATAGATTTGAACAGGAAATTTTTAAAAACTTTACAAAACACCATCCGGAGAGAAGTACTTGAAGTACTTATAACGTATTCGTTTCGTTAGCGTAACCAATGTATATCATTGTTATCATTTAGTTGAAAAAGTAATACGGGGAAGTTACGTTATCTTCCGTCTGGTAAATGTAGTGTTGATGCTGTGATAATGTTATTACAGCCTGATGTTGATATACGTTGATTGTGTGGTAATACCAACAGTTTCTTCCGCCTATATCCATAAAACCGTGGTTTATGTCCTCCAAAACTACAGACATGGTAAAATTCATCTTATCCAGCCTCTCAAATCATAATACCTGTCGATGTATCTGTAAATGTTTGCTTTGGGTAATTTTGTTTCAAACAACAAATGTAATGTTTTATGATATGGACATTCAACCATCATTTTCACATCCACCATACTTTTCCAAACTCGACAGAGGCAGACAAAGGCGTAATGCATCCCTTCGGCATTCTACCGGTATTTTAAGGAGGGACTTACCAAACGCCTCTTAATAGGAAAACATGACGGGAGATACAAAACCTACTGTGTACATTAATGAACCAGTTCAATGTATGGTCTACTTATAAGGACATATAACAAAAGGGAACACGTATTTGAGGCAGTTGACAATGCGATCAAAATGTTTGCTAGCGCCCTCCTAACAGCGAGGGTAACTACTAACGAGAGATAAGAATATCATACGGTGGCCGCGTACAGGTTATTGTAGGCCGTGCATGATAAATGAAACCTTCCAAACGAGGGACATACACTTTTCTTTAATTATCATCAGCATACATCTTACTTGCCTTTTCATTTTTATTTCAGGAGCCACTCAGGACCAGGACAATACGGCTACCTGATGAAGTAATATTTCTCTTCTAGATTTCGGACAATTCCTTTCTAACCAAAGACACATACCGTTTATTGGTACCTTTTTCCTAACGGAAATGCTGGCCTGTATCATTTCTGAAGAGTATCGATTTATACCTGGTATCATATTGTGCAATTAGTTTTAAGTCTAGTTATTGTAGCCCTCGTGTAACCGATATGTGTATTCCTTAGAAACAAGATGAGAACTTTGTTGAAGTTAACGTTACCAGGTTTACTTCATTATGCAATTCTTTACTGCGATTTTCTCGGCAGAGCAACTTTGCCAACCAGCAAATGACCGTTACATTCGTTATGAAAGACGTTCAGCGAAGTCTTAGAAAAGCAGTTTTGTCATATGGAATATGACAGTTAAATCACAACATTTTCAAACTTTTGGAAAAAGTACCACAACAATGATGGCATATTTAATCGGGTACGAGGTATTCATCATTATTTTTTCTGTAATAGCGCAGCCTACTCATGGAATATTGTGGGCAAACGTGAGTGGTGACGTCTTTTTGGGTGGCTTATTTCCAATTCACAGAGCAACAGACAACGGCCGGTGTGGGGGTATCCACGAACAGGATGGCATTCAAACTCTGGAAACAGCCGTCTGGACCTTAAAACAAATAAACGACAAATCTCAAAATCTCAAAATAGGCCTTGTTAGTATGGATACATGTGAAACGGATACGGTCGCCTTGGAGAACGCGTTAGAATTCGTCAGCATGGACGGAGTAACTTTTGATTTAGATCCGGCTGAAGATGGATATGTTTGTCGTGATGGAAGCATCCCATACCGGAACTCCACTACTGGTCCAGTGCGTATGGGCAACAGGGCGGTCGGGGTAGTTGGTGCAGCGTTTAGTCAAGTTTCTATAGCCGTTGCAAGCTTCTTGCGACTTTTCAAAGTACCACAGGTAAGAAAGGTACACGTTTACGTACTGAACATGCTCTAAAATATAATGTAAAATAATTGTAAATTCTGAATATAGAGCATATACTTACACACAACTAGTGATATTTTTCAAGAATTTACATTTATATATTGTGTTTATAAAGTCATCACGACAAAGTTTTTCCTTGTTTACATATTTATTTTAATTTATATTTTGTAAGTTGAAAATTCAAAATTCAACGAGAGAAAAATCGATGATCAATCAAATAACTAACAGCACACTTTTAAATGATTCTCACATTCACTAAAAGCGATATACTTGAATTTTTTGTATAGGAATTTCATAGGATATTTCTTCCAGGGAAAAAGTAAACCTTATCAAACCGGAAATAACAAACGAAAAAAATAATGAAAATATAAAAAGTGTACTTTCTTGTAATAGAACAGTCGTTTTAACTATTGCTAGGGAGCTTCAAGCTTCAAAACTCGTCAACCATAGATCAAACGTTTTTTGCTTTGGCTCATGTTGGTTTAGGGGTTCCTACATGTGCAGATCTGTTGTTGTAGATAAGCTATTGGTCAACTAGTCCAGAACTAAGTGACAAGGGTCGCTTTTCCTTCTTCAAGAGAACTGTTCCCTCTGATGCCTTCCAGGCCCGAGTAATCGTTAACATTCTCACGTAAGTGACCATTGCTTTAGCTGTCTCCATGGAGTTGGTCCAAACGAAAAGAGTAAAATTAGTATATGCCACGTTTACCATGATAGGGTTTATCATAACAACTTCGATATTATTCTGCTTGGAAATCATGTACTTTAGCGTAACCACTTTTTTTTCTTCTAATAATTCCATTCCATACGTTTTTAAACTGTACGACCACCACCATCACTTTGGAGCTTACACACTTCCTAATCAGTCGAGTTTCTACAGTAAGGGATGGAGAATAAAATGTACAACTATATGGCATTCTTTTGTATTTGTGCGGGAGTTGCTGCCTCGTTTACAAAAGTATTACCATGTTAAATAAAAAAAAATTGTTATATAAAACTGTCATATCTGTGTATATACATTTGGGAATAAAAATAACCCACGTCTTCAATATCCCCTATCATGTTGGCATGTTTTTATAGTGATCAATTATCAACATTTCATTGTTTTTGTATCGTTAAAAGGCGCAGGTTTAAAAAAGATAACTTTTCGTTTGCAGATTTGAAACCGCATCTTCAGAGAAAAATGTTCATAACCGCCATAATAATCTCACAACGGGTTATGCTATGTGTTATACAACAGATCCTGTCTGTTTTTCAGCCAACTGGAGTGGTGGTATGTCGTAGCTGTTTACGAACAGACGACCTACGGCGCAAATCTGTACTTTGAGATGAAACGTTTGGCTGAGGAAGAAGGCATCTGTTTTGGTTTAACAGAAGAAATAAAACTTTCAAAAGTTGGGCTTGATGACGAACTAGAAACGATAGCACACAGGATTTCGGATGCCAAAAACACACACGGTAGGCAATTACCTTATGTTGATGCACGTAAAAGGGTGTGTGTTATACAGCGAATGAGGACAAAGTAACGTACCGGTAGGGTTTCGTGGTAAAGCGGTGTATTCTCAACATTAGAATGGTAGCAATTGTATACGAAAGACGTATTAAATTAGTTGTCTGCAAATTGGCAGCCATTCGATACATATTCTTGCTCTACGGTACCTCTGTGTGTGTGAATAACTTGTGATTTTATGTGGAAACTTTTGATTTGCTCAGGTAAAGTTGTCGTCATACTCATCACTCACTACGGCCTTGCCAAGTCGCTGTTCCAGGCGGTTGACCGGAAGTCATTGGGAGACAAGGTTCGCTGGATAGGTGTTGACGCATGGGCAGGGCGACAATTTGACGAGACCATACAACAGGTGGTGAGCGGGGCCATAGCTGTACAACCCTTGGCCAGGAAGTTGAAGGGTTTCGATGAATACTTTACCAGGTAAGTATTAATGCTGATGAAAGATGTTTCATTTAAGGATCGAAATGCATGTTTTAATAGTAATGATAGTATGCAACACGGTTCCATTCATCCTATTCCATAATTCGCGGTAGAGACAACTTTATGCTATTGTGCTTTGTGGTCTCATTTTGTTCTACCAACTGGCGGAACAGCCAATTTTGCAGGAACTGGTTATGCTATCCGTGGTTACCAGTTCCGCTAGGCGTCTAACGTCAAAGAAGACATTACTGAAATGTCGTCATAATCTTATTTGACTTAGCACGATTATTCATCTCTAATTACACAAATAGTTTAACGGAAAGACCTTAGTAGTTTCCAATTAAAAAATATTGCTGTTTAAGTTGTTTCTAAGGACTATACAAAGAAAATGCAAATAATAAAATTATCAATTATTTCTTTCTATAGAGATAATGAATTATTAAATTATGTCCCTTTTAGCCTGACTCCGGCAACGAACACATGGAATCCGTGGTTCCAGGAATACTGGGAGTTCCATTTCAACTGTAAACTCTCGGATAAATCCACAAGTCCGTGTACGGGCAAGGAACAACTCAGTGCTGCTAACGGTAATACATGTGCTCTTTAAGGCTTGCGGTGGGGTACGACATGGAGAGGAAAGTTTTGACTATATATTCTCTTTAAGTTTCGATTGTAATAATTATATCTACCTACTGAGTGTACAGGCACAGAACTGCTCAGGTATGCTTAGGGTGATTAAGCTTGTCCGGGGTCTTAGACTAGGCATAACCTGCATCTACCTTAGACATGCTTTATTTCTATCTATGACGAAGTTTCTATCTACCTTAGAAATAGCCAAGGTCTTTTACGAGGTCAATTTCTACCTTACATATATGTTTAACTAGCCAATGCCTTTTGCTATTTCTGATTTATTTTTACTATTTTAACACGATGTAATACATGTATAAAGGGAAACCTTCTTAGGTTGGAACTGTTTGTGGTAACATATGTTAGTGTTATCATATTAAGCTTACATAAGGTAGACATAAAGATATTCCCGAGAAGAAATAGATTGAGAATGTAAAAAGGAAATAACTATCGCAATTAAACACAATTCAATATGCATCACACGCTCCTTAATCACCTAATCGCCAATAGGGATGTAAATTCAATGGTCTATGAATAACATCTACTATATATTTATAATGTGATACCCTGTTAAGATCAATTATGATTTCTACCTTGTTTGACCATAAGCATCACCGATGAGTCTTAGAAGGACGAAGCAGCTTATGGTGTAGTGTGTTCTTTTGGCATGCTGTACAATGTTTATATTACCAAATTGTATAAAAGCAATCACATTTGAGTCTTTTACGTTCATCCCCCATTTCTGTTTTAACCAATTTGGATATCCTACTTTTCGGTCCTTATCGTCAGCGATGAGTCTAAGAAGGACGAAGCACCTTATGGTGTAGTGTGTTCTTTTGGCATGCTGTACAATGTTTATATTACCAAATTGTATAAAAGCAATCACATTTGAGTCTTTTACGTTCATCCCCGATTTCTGTTTTAACCAATTTGGATATCCTACTTTTCGGTCCTTATCGTCAGCGATGAGTCTCAGAAGGACGAAACAGCTGTATGGTGTAGTGTGTTATTTTGGCATGCTGTACAATGTTTATATTACCAAATTGTATAAAAGCAATCACATTTGAGTCTTTTACGTTCATCCCCCATTTCTGTTTTAACCAATTTGGATATCCTACTTTTCGGCCCTTATCGTCAGCGATGAGTCTCGGAAGGACGAAACAGCTGTATGGTGTAGTGTGTTATTTTGGCATGCTGTACAATGTTTATATGACCAAATTGTAAAGTAGCAATCACATTTGAGTCCTTTACGTTCATCCCCCATTTCTGTTTTAACCAAATTGGATATCCTACTTTTCGGCCCTTATCGTCAGCGATGAGTCTCGGAAGGACGAAACAGCTGTATGGTTTAGTGTGTTATTTTGGCATGCTGTACAATGTTTATATACCAAATTGTATAGAAGCAATCACATTTGAGTCCTTTACGTTCATCCCCCATTTCTGTTTTAACCAATTTGGATATCCTACTTTTCGACCCTTATGAGTAACAGAAGGACAAAACAGCTGTATGGTGTTGTGTACTAAATGTTTGGCATGCTGTACAATGTACCAAATATCATAGATGCAATCACATGTGTGTTGGTTACGTTCATCTTCTACCTGTAGGATATGAACAGCTCCAGTCCCTTTACTACGTACAGGACGCCGTCACAGCCTTTGCTGACGCCCTGCATAAAATCCACCAAGACGCATGTGGACTCTACTACCGTGGAATCTGCCCTAACATGGCCACCAAACTGACCGGAGAGACGCTACTGACGGCCCTGGATAACATAGAGTTCATAGGTATCTTTAAAAGTGCGATAAAAAAAGAAGATAGATTAAGACCACGTTTTGTGGTCGCGATCAACATCTTACTGGGAAACACTATTTTCCTATATGCTGTATACATTTCAATGATTGCTATTTTGCAAAACAAGTTCGTCTGGTAGATTCCATATCATAAGTTCGGTTTTCATGTCGAGAACTTGACATTAATTGAATTTTATCTGGATGTAAATGGTTGATATCGTTGGCGAAGCAGCAGACTTATACCCTTCTACATCCCCGGTCCTAGCTTGTTATGTCCCAAACATTGCAGGTGTTCATTTTTACATTGGTCATGCTTTCTGTTTCTTCCTTTCCAGATTAGAAAGTGAAATGAAGAAGCCTATGTTTTGACCTGCTTTAGTTTTTTTATTTCCTTTGTCCTTCCTTATCCTTTGTTTTCTTTAAACACCTTCCTTTCCAAACTTTTGCAAAAACACGTCCTGAACGTTCAATGATTTTTTCTGCTTTCATCTCTTTCTTTCAAATGTTTTTCCTTTGTTCTGGAAACCCAATTTTTTTCCCCATTACTTGTTCAGTTGCAAGAACTGTGATGATGCTGGGATTTTACTTGCCTAATATATTTGGCGCAGATAAAATTTCGTATTGGAGGTTAGAAAATCAGAATATTCGATAAAACATCAAGCACTGTTTATAGTTCCAGTGGTCCTTGTTAAACTACCAACGTTATCCAAACCATCTATGGCATTCCCATTAATGATGTAAATTATCGGTGCCTGTGTCAACCCTTCTTATTAATCCTCCAGATCCGTTGGGGTTTCCGTTCCAATTTATCAACGGTACTGACGGACCTCCACGCTACAGCATTATGATGTACAGAAAGAACGGCGACAAGTTCCAGTGGCAGGAAATCGGAAACTTCACCGGTAGTGTAGCAAATAATCCATTGACTGATAAAAATAGAATAGGTAACCATAGCCGATTGGCAGAAAAACATCAGGTTATTGGCAGAGGAAGACAAGTTCACGGGAAATCATACATATACTAGAACTCCCTTTGGCAATACTGAAAAAGCAACATAACAGGTGTACCAGGAATTATAAAAAAAACGTTACTTTCCCTCAAATAATTTTGCTGAAGGAAACAAAAAGCTATTACTGTGAACAAAGAAAGCACGACTTCAAACTGAAATATTAATTTACTATATATCTACAGACAAATTATAAATAGTTCAAGTAAAATGTAAATAAATAGAAGCAGTAAGTAAAACATGCATTGGTATCAAAAGGCAGCAGCGATACCAAACAACGGTCAGAGACATTTATTGTACCGAATGTACATACACCTGTACATAGCCATAGAAGGTTTCATATACAAAACTTTTCATAAATATCAGCAAAATAATTTCTTTTAATATTTGATAAATGCAAGAAGCATAACATGTGTACCAGATATTATAAAAAACATCACTTTCCCATAAATATTTATTTCTGAAGGAAACAAAAAGCTATTACTGTGAACACAGAAACCATGCTTTTATCCAACCCAATCATTTGTATTAGATAAACTGAATATTAATTAACTATATGTCCACAAACAAATCAGATAATAGTTCAAGTAAAATGTTAATAAATAGATACAGTAAACTAGCAATACATTAGTAAAACACACATCGGTATCGAAAGACAGCAGCGGCACTATACAACGGTCAGAGACATTTATGATACTACAAGTACATACACATGTTCATAGCCATATCAGGTTTTACATAAATAAGTTTAACCCAAAACTTTTCATAAATATCAGCAAAATTATTTCTTTCAAGATTTGATAAATGCAAGAAGCATATTATGTCCGTAATATATAACCTTACAATAAACTTGTGAAGTGTTTGCATAACTCTATATTAATATTGTTTTCCTGTGAAATGTAAGCTTTAGTCTGTATTTAGATATATTGCTACCTTGTGAAAATAATATATCTCTATATCTCTAAGATATGTAACTTTCCATTCAGTTCCATGTTTGCTATATCTTATATTGGCGTTCTTTATTATTTTTGGAGACAATGTTTACATGTTGAACGATTAGATCTAATAATTTTAAGGGTCAAGATTTTAACGCATGTCCTTTAAAGTTAGTTTTACAATTTATTTGATACTCCTTTTGATTATTTTCAAGACTCTGATGGTCTGTACCGGTTTGACATCGAGAAGCTGCCATACAACGTGTCTGTCTGTTCATCCGTCTGTGACACTGGTGAGGAACGACGTGTTACGGCCAGTCGGCCATGTTGCTGGTACTGCAAACAATGTACAAAGGACCAATACGTGTCAGACGAATTCACTTGTGAAACATGTCCACAAAGCTCCACACCAAACAACTTACGTAATGCTTGCCATCCACTTCCTCTAGAGTTCGTTTCCTTTGGCGATCCCGTCGCAATATTTGCTTGTGTGTTTTCTAGCGTAGGAATATTGTTGTGTTTGTTCGTGCTTGTGATCTATATCCGGTTCCGGTCAACGCCTATTGTAAAAGCTTCTGGTATAGAGCTCAGCTTTGTCTTGCTAGCGGGAATTGTATTATCCTATGGAGCAACGTTTATGTTTATGGCTAAACCTTCACCAGTCATCTGCGGCTTCAGACGTACCTTATTAGGAGTTTGTTATACGGTCTGCTATGCTACCATTTTGACGAAGACTAATAGAATATACAGAATATTTTCTATGAAAGAAAATGCTAAAATTCTAAGAATGAAACGATTTACCAGCTCCAAGTCGTCTCTGGTGATAACGATACTTCTTTGTGCTATAGAGTTAGTGGCAATAGTTGTGTGGTTGATATTCGATCCGCCAAAAGCTGTACAAATGGACTACAAAACTGGTGACGCAATCCGTAATGTTTTAGTTTGTCATGATAGTATGGACTTTTCCTACATCGGAGTGTTAATATATCCTTTTATACTTATGATCATATGTATTGTTTACGCTGTGAAGACAAGAAAGACTCCAGATGGATTCAACGAAACTAAGTTTATAACATTTTGTTCAACTTCGACATTTATTATATGGGTAGCATTTATCCCTACGTATTTTGCTACGAGCAACTCTTCCTTAAGAGTAGCCTCGTTGACCATGTCACTGTTAGTGAATGCCACTGTAATATTGACCCTTCTATTCTTGAGGAAAATCTACATCGTGTTATTTAGACCAATGAAAAACACACGTGAGAAAGTTATGAGTCGTGCGTCACTAAGTCATGACCTCGGAGACAGCAACTGCAGCAACGTTCAACCACGACCAGGTAAGCATGCGGCGTGATACTACATGTACCCTATGTACATTGTTTTGAGAAAAGGTTTAGCATAAAAATAAATTCTGTGTATTTTTAAGTCGACCTAACTGCTATATAAATTTCAAGATATCTGCGGTCCTGGAAAATGGTCCTTGAAATGATGTTCTTATGTACAATGTAGTAAGTGTTGTTTATTGTAAACTTTGTTAAAAGTATCGTTTGTACATAAGCTGTAATTACTTGTGTGTATCGATAAGTAACAAAGGATGTAACCGAAATTACATTAATGTATTGCCTTTGCAAGGATATGTTTTCCAATTTTTAATAACAAAAAGAGCCTACGTGTGTCTATATCGAAATTAGAAATCGTGACAGAATATGGCTATATTGTACATATAATTATAAAAAGAGGCTACATTTGTATATATCGTAGTATTTATCTACATTGTAATTACAAATTGTTAATGTGATAATGTTTATTTTTAAATATAACTACATTTGTCTATTTAACAAAATAGTAATGCGATTCAAACAAAGGGGATCTAAGGCATATATTATGTTTCCAGCCTCAACGTATTCTATCAGCAGACAGGACGTCAAAGAGACTGTAAGGAAGGTTAACGGGATAAAGGCCGAAGTGGTGCGTATGGACTCGGAAGGATTCTCTGTCCCATCCCCCGGTATTGGCAGTCTCGGAATGAGTCTTAGCGGCTCGCAGATGCTCTTGGATATCACAGGAAATGTCCACGAAAATAACGAAAACTCTTCCCGTCAGGCAATACACGTTCTCGACGGTAATGTAGAAAATGGTCATAGCACTAGTCCAGCTGTGACTAAAAAGGGGAGGTCACTCAAAGTGATCCTCCCCGAGATCAAACTGAACGACATCCCTTTGTCTACGTGAATGTTTGTAGCTGTATATACATTGTAATTTTGATATCTTCATTTATATATATCATAGGATTGTATTTTTAACATAACAATGGCTCAGGGGAAAAGCCAGGCGTCTGATTCTTAGCCAAGAAAGCAGGATCGGTGACCAAAGCTAGTAGTTGAACCAATGCAATAATCCATATAATCCAACATTGCCGGTAAGGTTAATAAATATCTCAAACAGTATCATCTAGATTTGAATTCTTTCCGGTTTAAGTCTGTCAGGACACCCTAAGTGAATCTTATTGTTTCTGAACCAAACATAATTGAATGTTGCGGCATACAATTGTTAATTAGCTGGACATTTATTAACTTCAACTAAAAGTATATATGGTTGATTGGTTCAAATGTCATTGCACGCTTCTCTCATGACTTAAGTAAATATTATAATGCCATAGATTCATGAAATAATCTATGATGGGTACAACTGACTTACGATCGTTATAACTTTGACTTTTGATTTATAAAATAGATGCATGTACAAGTAAACAAATAACAACGAAACGCTTCCCGCATGGTCCTGTTGTGCAAATCATTTTATTGCAAATGAAGATTGAATTTACATTGGATATCGTATATAATCTGTTGTGATATAAAACAATGAGCAATTTTACCATTTGATGTATTTTGTATGTGATGACTCGTTGAACATGAAAATGTTTAATTTTTTCATAAAATTTCTGTCGTAACATGAAAATTCTTAAGACGGATTACGCTGGTATGATAACATTACAGAGGATCGCCGCTCAGCTGAGGTTCATTCGATGTTTCTGTACCATTCGTCTGAAACAGAAGACACAAGATTCATTAACCAAATTGAATGTGTAGATATCTATATGTGTGTGTGTGAACGATTGAAAGATGTTTTGACAAGATAAGAAAATGTTTTAATAAATGTGTCTGTATAACGTTGAACATAAATCATTTAAAAGATGGGGTAAGAGGAGAAAACTCCAGTTTACATATTTCAAGGGGGGGGGGGGGGGGGGGGGGGAGACAGACTGTGTTCATGTAAAACATGCTAGGTGACGGTGAACAAACTCTCCACCTACCTATAATGTATGCCAGTATGGATAAGATATAACTATTTTTCGTGATCGTTAATGACCCCTAGCATGATGCTTATCCACAAGTAAAACTGTTTAATGTTAAGGCCACAAACGATTATACATATTACATATGACAACACAAAATTCATCCCCTAAAAGCATAACAGAACAAGCATATTTATACATATTAGATATACACAGAGGTCACAAATACAAAAAGATGATACATGAGGTCTAACTTAATTACAGAAAGGTCAAACGCGATTACAAATATAGTCACACATGATAACACAGAAGTCACACGTGATTTCACTTAGTTAACGCAAGATTAACCAGACCATGCACTGTGAGACAGAAGTCACAAACTAAACACGGAAGTAGCATACGGTAACACAGAGGTCACAAACTAAACACGAACACAGCATACGGAAACACAGAGGTCACAAACTAAACACGGAAGTAGCATACGGTAACACAGGGGTCACAAACTAAACACGGAAGTAGCATTCGGTAACACAGAGGTCACAAACTAAACACGGAAGTAGCAAACGGTAACACAGAGGTCACAAACAAAACACGGAAGTAGCATACGGTAACACAGAGGTCACATACTAAACACGGAAGTAGCATACGGTAACACAGAGGTCACAAACTAAACACGGAAATAGCATACGGTAACACAGGGGTCACAAACTAAACACAGAAGTAGCATACGGTAACACAGGGGTCACATATGATGACTCAAATGTGTCAAAGAGTGTAATGAAGCTATCTGAAGGATTCCAAACAGTTGCTATTAGTTAAACGATTATAATGTTTGAGATTGGTCACAATTATATACCAGATATGAAACGTCATAGTCAAGAGTGGAACTCTCCTGTAGTAAAACTAGCAATAAAGCTCGCAATGGCTTTTTGGTTATGAGTCTGTACACAACATGGTGTCAAAATGGTTAAATTTGAAACCATCAATGACCGATTATCCGGCAATAGTAATGGGAGCTACTCAAACGTTCCATGTCGTCAATGGATAGTTTACACTATATGGGTACTTCTAGGAGTCCAATGGGTTGAGCATCTTAATTACCAGCAGATTGGAGGAGTTGTTGATCGGTACTTACCGCCAGATTTTGGAAACTGTCGACAGACGTTGAGTACAGACAGTGACATCGGTAATTATGACAAATTGGGACACCTTTGATGCAATGACACTGGTCTTGTCCATAGCATGTCTTCAGTAGATCTAGTAATAAATTATTTGCATTAAACAGGTTTAAACAAATAGTCTAAATTGCATGCGAGAGTAATGAATCGTCCTAGATCTTGTTGCATCAAGATCCATTATATTCAACACAGACTAAGAAGCAATCATTTGTTGATTTAATTTTTGAAAGATGCGTCAAGTTAAAACCCTGCTGATCTTATTTTTTTTTTATTAAATCGTTATTGATTCTCTGTCTATCGCAAGAATAAGAGCGTTACCAGAATGAACTACACTATTGATCGCTAACAAGGAATTGAACCCATATATATATATGCATAACAAGTTTCTCTATTTGATACGATTCTCAAGTGAATATTTCGTTATCATCATTAATATTCAATAAAAAATATGAAATGTATAATTTACATGTAAGTTAATGTGACATTTGAAGTAAGAGCATTTACGTACACATATATACTACATTTCCTTGTACACGAAGTCACACTTATGTACACATATATACTACCTTTCCTTGTACATGAAGTCACACTTACGTACACATATATACTACATTTCCTTGTACACGAAATCACACGTATGTACACATATATACTACATAATCTTGTACATGAAATCACACTTACGTACACATATATAATACATTTCCTTGTACACGAAGTCACACTTACGTACACATATATACTACATTTCCTTGTACATGAAGTCACACTTACGTACATATATATACTACATTTCCTTGTACACAAAATCACACGTATGTACACATATATACTACATAATCTTGTACATGAAATCACACTTACGTACACATATATAATACATTTCCTTGTACACGAAGTCACACTTACGTACACATATATACTACATTTCCTTGTACATGAAGTCACACTTACGTACACATATATACTACATTTCCTTGTACATGAAGTCATACTTACGTACACATATATACTACATTTCCTTGAAGATGAAGTCACACTTACGTACATATATATATGCTACATTTACTTGTACATGAAGTCACGCTTACGTACACATATATACTACATTTACTTGTACATGAAGTCACACTTATGTACACATATATACTACATTTCCTTGTACATGAAGTCACACTTACGTACACATATATACTACATTTCCTTGTACATGAAGTCATACTTACGTACACATATATACTACATTTCCTTGAAGATGAAGTCACACTTACGTACATATATATATGCTACATTTACTTGTACATGAAGTCACGCTTACGTTCACATATACACTACATTTACTTGTACATGAAGTCACACTTATGTACACATATATACTACATTTCCTTGTACATGAAGTCACACTTACGTACACATATATACTACGTTTCCTTGTACACGAAGTCACACTTACGTACAATTTCCTTGTACATGAAGTCACACTTACGTACACATATATACTATATTTCCTTGTACATGAAGTCACACTTACGTACACATATATACCACATTTCCTTGTACATGAAGTCATACTTACGTACGCATATATACTACATTTCCTTGTACATGAAGTCATACTTACGTACGCATATATACTACATTTCCTTGTACATGAAGTCATACTTACGTAAACATATATACTACATTTCCTTGTACATGAAGTCATACTTACGTAAACATATATACTACATTTCCTTGTACATGAAGTCGCACTTACGTACACATATATACTACATGTCCTTGTACCCGAAGTCACACTTACGTACACATATATACTACATTTTCTTGTACATGAAATCATACTTACGTACACATATATACTACATTTCCTTGAAGATGAAGTCACACTTACGGACATATATATATGCTACATTTACTTGTACATGAAGTCACACTTATGTACACATATATACTACATTTCCTTGTACATGAAATCACACTTACGTACACATATATACTATATTTCCTTGTACATGAAGTCACACTTACGTACATATATATACTACATTTTCTTGTACATGAAGTCACACTTACGTACACATATATACTACATTTCCTTGTACATGAAATCACACTTACGTACACATATATACTATATTTCCTTGTACACGAAGTCACACTTACGTACACATATGTACTGCATTTCCTTGTATATGCGGTCACACTTACGTACACATATATACTACATTTTCTTGTACATGAAATCATACTTACGTACACATATATACTACATTTCCTTGTACATGAAGTCATACTTACGTACACATATATACTACATTTCCTTGTACACGAAGTCAATCTAACGTACACATATATACTACATTTCCTTGTACACGAAATCATACTTACGTATACATATATACTACATGTCCTTGTACATGAAGTCATACTTACGTACACATATATACTACATTTCGTGTACAAGGAAATGTAGTATATATGAGTACGTTAGATTGACTTCGTGTACACATATATACTACATTTCCTTGTACATGAAGTCACTCTAACCTGCACATATATACTAAATTTCCTTGTACATGAAGTCACACTTACGTACACATATATACTACATTTCCTTTTACATGAAGTCACACTTACGTACAGATATATACTATATTTCCTTGTACATGAAGGCACACTTACGTACAGATATATACTACATATCCTTGTACCCGAAGTCACACTTACGTACAGATATATACTACATTTCCTTGTACCCGAAGTCACACGTATGTACACATATATACAACATAATCTTGTACATGAAGTCACACTTACGTACAGATATATACTACATTTCTTGTACATGAAGTCACACTTACGTACACATATGTACTACATTTCCTTGTACTCAGTCCTCAGTGTAAATGTTAGCATTCGTCAACAGTAATCGTCAGCACTCGTGCAAGGATACTGATTTTTGACCGGGGGAACCACAAGTAATGCCAACAAAGTGCAATCATATGGGACAAAATCTCAGTTGTTAAAAGAACTTTTCATACTTGGTCCTGGACCTAACTTTTTTTTCCAATGACATGACTTTCAGTATATTCGCTAGAATGCTGATACTATGCATATACTTTCAAAATGGTAGCCAAAAAAAAAGTTTTCTTTTGCGATATGAAGGTCGATGTTTCCCATTATTTTTAATAACGTGCATTATTTCGTTGTTATTAACCTGGTTTTCGATTTGAGGACGTTACATCAATTTGATTTGACCTTCTTTTTTTTTTATGGCAGATGTCGTCAATAAACAACAAAACGCTTACTCTTCCGGAACACCTGCTCTTAATCCCCTTGTACTACTCAAAGGGCTAACATGACATGACATGACCATTGTTTTATTCTCATAAACAATACAGTGTAGAGAATACATATATACGAATGGGTGACAATAATACATGGTGGAACAGGATGGAGATTAGTATTGTAAATTAATTATGTCATTAATATTGGTAATAAATTTAGCCAATGATGTCAATTCATGTTTTGTTACATTCTTGAATAATGTATGCTATTTAAATGTGTTTGGACTTTCATAATAATATCTGGACATATGTTTTCGCCTACTATTGAGAATTGGTTGATGTGTACACGTAAACAGATAATGAAATTCGTCGCCAATTTCTCTTAAATAACTACATAATCCATCCATTTTCACGTATGATAGTTTTTTTGTGTTCATGTTTGGCTATTGTTCTCCATTCTGAGTACAAAGTTTGTTTTTGTTGTCACTTTGGCTATTTCTTGTGTGATGAATTAAAACAAAGATCAGCTATATGTTCATCATCAAATTACATAAGGTTCAGGTTCGCGATGTTTGGCAATAAGATTGTTTAGGAACATTCGATACACTTTTTGTTTCCGTTACATACGATATACATACTCGTTATCCTTGTCTTCAAATCGTCAAACAAAATATACTTTGTAATTTAATTTGCAAATATTTTCTCAGCCGATCGGTGAAAGTGAAAATATGCCTGTATGAGGAAAGGGATAACATTGGGTTTGGTTTGGTGAGAGATGTTACTATTAGTACATGAATAAATGGAGAAAAAAATCAGCAATTCGATTTAAACATACAGCGCTTTCTAGAAAAAACAGGGCTCCCCAAACTCAAAGATCATCTGACATGACTACATTGTACATATATGGTGAAGTGGGCAAATGAAATATTTCTATAACTGTAAATAACAGTTGTGTGCAACATAACATCCTGCAGCTGTTAAAGAATATTTTCCCACACATATTTTGTAATTTTAAAAACAAAATCCAAAATGAATTAACACTCAAAAAATAGATATAACAAATCCATGATAAATCGGTTTGTCTACCCAGGAATCATTGAAGGTTGTTGTGATAATCACGCCAAAACAGGAAAAGGTATCCAGTGTGACCAGTGTCAAAATTGGATTCACTATGACGGTGAAAGGCGAAACAAATCATTTAAGGAAGACAAGATAAAGCTGCATTGATAATAGGTAGGTAACTTGAACTCAAAAGTTATTAAAATATGACCAAATGTCAACA